ATACCCAAGAGAACTGAAAACATGTCCACCTAAAAATTTATATATGGATGTTTGTAAGCTGTAGCATTCACAGTAGCCAAAAAGTAGAAATAAAACTATCAGCTTTTTCTCCTCTGTCTTGACCAAAACTTAGAGGTGATCTCCATTGGCGTATGAAAACAAAGGCTTAGGGAAGAACCCAGGGCTTTGCAAATAAGGGTCATTGTTGGGAAAATGACAAGAGCAGAATCGCACCTGATGAGTGCATAAACAAAATAATTGTATGGTATACTGTATAATGGAATATTGTTAGCCATAAAAAGGATAAAATACTGACACCTACTATATGTTATAAGTCTTGAAAACCATATACTAAGTGAAAGCAAGAGAACACATAGCATTTGTTTCTGCTTACTGTATGTGAAATATCCAGAGTAAGTAAACTCATAAAGATAGAAAGTAGATTAGGCCTAGGCCTAAGAGGGGTAGGAAAAACATGGACTCCTAATAGATACCATGTTTCTTTTTAGGGGTGATAGAAATGACCTACAATTGATTGTGGTATTACACAACCATATAAATATAGTAAAAACAACCAAATGTATGCTTTAGAGTGGTGATTTTTTTGATACATAAATCATAGTCATTCCATGGTATCCATGGGTAATTGGTTATAGGACCATTCATGGACACCAAAATGCAGGAATTTTGAAGCCCCATGCATAAAATAGCATATTTGTATATACCCTATGCATATCATCTCTAGATTATAATACCTAATAACAGCATAATGCTATGTAAATAGTTTGTATCCTGTACTGTTTCGGGAATGACAAAGCAGCTATACATGTTCAGTATGGAGGCAATTTTTTCCAATTATTTTTAACCTTGTTTGAATCTGGAACCATCTACAGATACAGAAAGCTGACTATATATCAAAAAAAAAAAAAAAGAAAAAGAAAAGAAAAGAAAAGGGAATGGAAGGATTTAGGAGGCCTTTTGGTGTAACTTGGAATGGGGAATGTAAAAAGACGAGCCTGAGTTGGAGGTTTTAAGTCCAAGCTGAGTTCGTAAGAGTGGCAGTTGGGAAATATCCTAAGAACATGTAGAAAGATTACTGAGCATATTGAGTTCCTTTTTGTAATTGGATGCCATATATTTGAAGTAGAACCCTTTAATTTGATTTTTCTCCTCTATTTTGACCAAAACTTAGAGGTGATCTCCATCTAGTGTATAAAAACATAAACTTAGGGGAAAACCCAGAGTTTTGCACATAAGGGTTGTAGTTTGGAAAATAAAGAGAGCAGAATCCCACCTCTCAGCTCTGAGATTTGTGATTGGAGAAGAGATGGTAGGGAAGGAGTATGATGTTCTCCATGAAAAGATCTAATGAAGTGGAGTTAACTTTTTAAAAGTAAGAAAAGGCCACTTGAAAAGAGTCAACCTCAGAAAACAGAAGTGCAAATTACACTCCAAACACTGCCCAACACATTTGGTACAGCATAGTCTTAGTATTGGTAACATCATCTCTACTGTTCAGAAAAGTTTCTAGAGCAAGCTTAGTTGAGAAATATGTCTTCAACTCTACCTAATTTTCTTTTCTTTTTTATTTTTTTATTTTTTTTGGTCCTGTATTGACCAAAGTAATGATGTGATTATTGTGTGACTCCCCATATTATTAAAGAGAATGTGTTCGTTGGTCAGGAAATATGCTTAGTACTCAGTAAAATGCTTTATAATTATTTCAGAATGTCTTAAATGTCTTTTAGATTATACACCATTTTTTTCCAGTGTTAATATTACGTGAAAATTTTAGATTTCCAAAGCTAAGGTTCAGTCCATGATGAAAAGTGTAAGCTTCAAAGTAGCATTTTTGAAGCCTATAGGTAGAAGCTTTTACTAGGTAAATCCCTACTGCAAGAAAACAACACCTTTAAAATTGCAGTGGAGAAGCAAACTCATATATTGCTTTTACTTTGTACAAATTCTCCTTTTCCTTCCAGAACACTGTTGATCACATTTCTTAAATGCTTTGCAAGGGATCTCAAAGTTCATTGTGACCTCTGTACTGGGACATCATCAGACACAGATGCTGCTCTTAAAGGGCTTTTAGCATTCAGAGGCTTACTGGCCATGATTCAGTTCGAGGCCCCCTCTCACAGACAAGATGAAAGCACTTTCTTGCAGGATAACAAGCCTTCTTCTTAGGAGTCATTTTCAACTAATTGGACTAGTTGAGAGGCCTCTGGGTTTCGTTGGATGGTTCTGCATTTCCTTCTTTTGTTGATCTTGGCCCCTTCACCTTCCACCCACTTTATTACTCATTTCTTAGGGGCCTGACTACTCAGTAACACTGAAAAAAATGCATCTGAAGCCATATGGGTTGAATAAAATGAACTTAAGAGCGGGGGAGGAAAAGAAATCTGTGTTCTGTGAACTTCCTTTGTTTATGTGATCTGTTTGTATGTCATTAAGACCATGTCATTCAGCCAGCTCTCCATATTTCAAAGTGACTAAAGATTTCTGGGGAGTACTCTATGAGGATCATGCTGGCATACTGAAAAGATACTTCAGTCTCCTTTTGAGGTGATAGAGCCGTGCCAGCAGCTTCAAATACTAAATCTTAAGGTTTTGAAAAGCCAGTAGCTTCTGAGGACACGTTTAGGACCTGAGTCCTCTGCAGGTATTAGCATAGGTACCATGTTGTGTGAATGTTTACTAAGTACAATGAGGCTGTATGGTATCTAATTAATAGTTTTGATAAGATGAGCATTGGCACTTGTGTAGGTGATGTTAGTATTTTAGACAGCTAAATTAAGTACAAATATTATAGGCAGTCAGACAGGTTTAGGCCCTTGAGGGGATCAGTGTAAAAGATGAGAGAATATGTTGCAGTTGTGACTGGAGGCACATCTTGAAGGCTAGGCCTCAAGATAAAGATGGAATGACCAGATCTACATGACTGCCTAAGGGATAAGAATATACTGTAATTGGTATCACCTGGTCCAATAAAGGCTAGATAGCCATTAGTCACTTAAGGGGATGACCAGAACCTCCTGACTTCCATCTCTTCCAGAAAAGGTCCTTTTTCTTTCCATGTACACTTGCTGTGTGACTTCCTTCAAGATTACCTTACCAGCTATATTTGTAATCTCATTGGATGATCATAGTTTTGTCCCACATTTTACCCACCTTGTGATTTTGCTCTGTAAAACTTCCTTTCAGAAATGAACTTGTTAGCAAACCACTTGGAGCCCCTTCTACCTCTCAGGAGCTGTCTCTGTCAGCAAAGTTTTCATACTCTTAACCTCTGTGGCTCCTTAGAGTTCATCTTTGATTTTGGAGAACACAAACTCCGTGTATCTGACTTCTAGCAATTTGGGAGTGATCATATTTCCCTTGTATCATTTGGAAGTCCTATATCATTAGCAGCCCTGAAAACCTACATACTGTCTTATATAATGTAAATTAAAACTTACGTAGTCTTGGATCACAATCATTCTAAAAAACATACTCAGTGAAATTCTGCAGGATTTGTTAGAGCCATTCCACTTGTAAATACCCTACTGCAAGGAACTGCAAACTCTTCCCAAGTGTCCTGTGCATAGAGTCAGCTCCTTACTTAGTTCCTTACTCTGCCATCCAGGCTGCTCCTGACCCCTGTAAGATCTCTACACAGATTTGTTGTTGTTGTTGTTGTTACACTGAACTATGAACATGGGCTGCTAAATAAATTTAGAAGTGAAAATGAGTAAGAACAAGAAATAAAACATCAGTATTAGTGTTTAGGAAGTAAATTACTCACTGAACATGAAGGATGTGGTGTGTGTCATCTGCATTTTCTTCTCATTTGCCCTCAGTATATTGAACTGGCTCAGCTCTGCTAGGCTGCTGTGCTTTCTTTAATTGCCATTTCACTAGGTCTTCTTCACAGCAGCACCTGAAAGAACTGCTGAGAGAGCTCCTGAGTCAATTCTCATGATTTGTTTTTCATTCTCCCAGTTGATTGAGGCCCTTTTTTCTTGAGTAGTTTGTAGTTTCATTAAGTGGCTGATGTTTGGGGTCACTATTAAATATTTTGTGTGAGTATCACTTCCATGATGAACGGGCGGCTTCTGCTTTAAGCTCTATGGGGTGAAACCTTTAGTGGTAAGCCTTGAAAGGGGGAAATCTTTCTTTGTAGTGATATGCTAAATGAAATTACTCTCCTTGTCCCTTTGTCCTTTTATCCTTTCAGTCTGATAACTCCAAGCTCTGATGATTTATTTGTTTTCTTCAATTAGGCTTAGCTATTTCCTGTTTCCAGGTACATGCTCTTTCTGCTGTGAGTTATGATAGTGAAGTGGAGCATACTTATGACCTGAAAATGTGGTTGCCTTGACTCAGAACCACATCAGTATGCCTTCCATCCTCCACTTCCTTTTTGCATTATTTCCTTTTGGAAGGCTCAGTTTGTCACCATTTAATCTTAGCATGATTCATGTGACACTAAAAACTGGTGATGGTATAATAACAGTGCTGTTCTTTATATAATAGTACTCAAAGCACTTACTTTCTTAGCCTTCCATGTTTATGAAGCACTTTCAGTTTAATCCCTCCTAATAACCTTATCGGGTTAAGTCAGCAACATTCTCTGTATCTAAGATGGTGAAATTGTAGCTCAAAGAAGTTAAATGCTTTGCAGAGTTGCAATGTGTCTAAGCTATTCTGTTTAATGTTACTACATGAGGTGAAGAATACTCTTGAAGATATTCTGAATGAATAAAATTAATTTTTCAAACTGTGTCAGTTATTAAAATCTGGCTTCTTTTGAGTCTGGTCAGTTAAGACCATAGTAGTTAAAAGCTCATTAACCGTAGAGTTTAAGTTGATGTGTCCTGGTCAGGAAAATAAGTATTTAGGTCAGTTTCCATTCTGCCGATATGACAAAAGTTAAGAAAGACTGGCTCTTAAATCTGTGGAATTTGAACCAGAAGTAATTAAGCCATTAATTTTTTTTTTTAACTCACTCTTACTTTTAGGCAGATGGAAAGCTTGATGACTAGTTCTACCCTACCACCCCTTTTTGCAGATGAAGATGGCTCCAAGGAGAGTAATGATCTGGCCACCACTGGGTAAGCAGTTGCTTGGGAACACTTGAGTCTGCACAGGCTTCAAAAGAAAGCTTCTAATAAAGGGGCTAAAGAGACTGTTCTGTATTATAAAAATAGAAGGTGCATTTGTTGTGCTTTTCAAAGAGAATGAGAGCTATTGTAAACTGCTTTGTACTCTGCCATTTGTTGCAGTGCTCTGATTCCTGTGAAGTGGTAGAATAAACAGTGTGAGGCCTAATGAACATTGGGACTCCAGATTAAGAAAATCACGTGGTCACCATTAAGAAAATACCAGCCACAGGACTGGCTCTCAAAAAGCAATGCATCTTCTGTTCAAGTGTCCATAGATATTAAAATGTTTTTTCTCAAAAGTCAGATATTTTAGTGATAGTTTTATTCAAGATGCATAGGTACTTTAGCTGACTTTCATTTTGTACTGCCCCTACTCTTGTCTTTTTTCTGTGGGATTTCTGAACAAATATATAAAGGAATATGGAAAAGAGTTACCAGTAGGGGCTGGGGATTTAGCTCCGCGGCATAAGCATCTGCCTTGCAAGCAGGCGGTTGTGAGTTCGATCCCTGGTACCGATAAAAACGAAAAAGACAAAAAAAAAAAAAAAAAAAGAGTTAGCAGTAGTCTACCTCTTTCCTTGAAAGTCTCTATTCCACTAGAATTTTTATCTTTTCTAGATACTTAAGTGCTGTTTGCCAAAGAAAGAATATATTCACTAATAGATTAAAGTGCTAGCTAGTCCATAAGATGAATTATTTTAATATTCTTTAGAGCCCTTTAAAAAAATAGACTATACTCTGAAATTCTGTTTCCTTCCCTCACATTCATTTCTTACTCATGAGTATCTGCCTTTTGACCTTTCTACTCTGATGAAATTGTTCTCCAGTACTTTCCCAAAAGCAGCCTAGTTAATAAAGCCTAATTCATTCAATAAAAGGTTCAATGTCTATATGCCAGACTGTTTCAGGCATTAGATCTAAAGCAACAATCAAAATAAACAAAAATCCTACTCTTTGGAGCTCAAATTGTTCAGGGGAAGGCAGACAGTGAACAGGGTAAGTCAGTAAAAACCCTTGATTACAAAATAAAGTGATAAAGAGGAATCAGAAGGGTTTAGGGGTGCTGTTGTAAACAAAATGGCCCAAAAAGCATTTAGTGAGAAAGTGACTTAATAATGCTTTAAAGGAAGTATGGAAACTTCCTTTCCAAAGTTACCTAGGGAAGATTTTTCTAGGCAAAAGTCCTGAGGTAAAGATGTTTCTGCCTTATGGAAATAGCCAGGAGGCAGGTATGATCATGGCAGCTATGCACTAAGAGTGGGGCAGGAGAAGCCTGGATAAATATTTCATCAATGTGCATATGAATTTCCTAGTGGTCTTATTAAAATGTAGGTTCTCATTTAGAAAGTCTTGAGTTGGGGGTAGAGATTCCACATATCTAACAAGCTCTCAGGTAAGGTCAGAGCTGCTGATCACTGTAAGTAGGAAGGATGTAGATCATGTAGGAATTTAAGGGTAAGAGTAAACATACCTCCTACTGTGAGGGAGATGGCAGAGTATTGCAGGATTTCAAACAGAAGGATGTGGTTTTCCTTACTTGATAATAGGATCTGTGTAACTGTGTTGAGAATAGTGAAGAAAACAGTATCTGGAACAAAGAGACCAGTTAGAGAACTCTTGAGATAATCAAGTGAGAGATGATGTACTGAAGAACATTGCTGATAACTTTTATAGGAATATTTCTAATGGAATAGTAGAGGCAAAAACTTCATTGGAGTGTTTCATTGGATTAATAGGGGTATACCGTAAGAAGTACAGACTTCTAGACATATTTTGAAGATAAGTCTAACAAGATTTGCCTGAAAGGGGCTGGGGATTTAGCTCAGCAGCATAAGCACCTGCCTTGCAAGCAGGCCGTCGTGAGTTCGATTCCCGGTACCGATAAAAATGAAAAAGACAAAAAAAAAAAAAAACCAGAAGATTTGCCTGAAAAACGAAATGAGCAATATGAGAAGGAAGGAAAAAAAACAAGACAATTTCAAAATTTTGGCCTAAGCAACTGAAGAAAGTATAGGAACTTAGTTTTAAAATTTTAAATTTCAGGTGCTAATTAGGTATTTAAATGGGAATGCCAAAAGTCACTACAAGATTCTGAAGTTAGAGGGGGCTTAAGCTAGAAAGAGAAAGTTGGGATCATCAGCATATAGCTGATATTAGAATTGCTATTAGAAGATATTATAAGTGAAAACCAATGAATACTGTGCAGCTAGAAAAGAAAAAAAATCTAAAGCCTGAGCTCTAAGTGACTCCAGCATTTAGAAGTTAAAACAGAAGGGCTGGGTAGCTCAGTGGTAAAGTGCTTGCTCAGCAGGCACAAGGCCCTGAGTTCAATCCCCCCTACCACAAAAGGAAAAAAAAAAAGTCAAGCAAAAATAAGAATGAACCAAAACTACAGTTAGTGAAAGGGGTAAAAGAAAAACCAAAGGAATTCAGGGGTCTAAACCCAATAAAAATTGTATTTCAAGGAAAGGGAAGAGATTTATTTTGTCAGATACTTTTGATAGATTGAAAAAATAAGGGCTAGAAAATGACTTTAAATTTAGTATTGTTATGGTTGTGGCTAGATGTTACCCCCAAAGCCTCATTTGGAGTTGGTTGAATATAATGTGTGATAAATTGGTGCCACGATGCTGGGATTATAGTTTGTGAGTGCTACATGCGAACTCGGGCAAATATCTTACATACAATATAAGAAACAGAACCTTGTCCCTTGCTTGTTGCTTTTGGTGTCTTATGCCAGCACCATAAACTGTTACTATTCTGTCATGTACCACCCTGCCTTGGAGCCAACTGATTATGGACTGAAATCTCCACAAACTGTAAGCTAAATAAACTTTGCCTCCTTAACTTTGGGTGTCAAGTACTCAGCAGCAAAAAAAAAATCACAGAGACAGAATTTGGTACCAGAAATGGGATTATTGTTGTGACTTTACCTGGCCATGTGGCTCAAGAGGTTTGGAACTGGCTTGTTGGAAGGAGATGAGTTAGGAAAGATTTGGAGATATGGCCTGAAAAAGTAGAGCTGGAATGCCGTAGGCTATACTGAATTGAGAAGAGAGTTTCAAGGCACTGTGCTCTGAAAAAATTTCCCCCAATTTGGTTCACTCAACCCTCCAGACACTGGGAGACTTCTGCAGCCATGATACAAGGAAGCCTACTACTCCAAACTGCAACAGACCATGGCATCATCCAAATAATACTGTTTTCACCTGCCTGCAAAATGCAAATTGTGGGATCAGGTAGACTTCCACCCAGATTTCAGAAGGCCTGAGAGGCCATATAGTGACTCTTGATAGGTATGTATTTTAAGGTGTGAAAGTGAAGCCAGAAATACAGTGAAGGCTACAGGAAGTTGGAGAAACCAGGATCCTGGAACTAAGGAAAGCCCCAAGCAGTGAGCCCCAAGCAGGCCAAGAGAAAAGGCCTGAGGGCTACAGCTAACCACAGTACCTCAGTGGTGGAGCTGCCCAAGTTCACATCACACCACAGTAGCCCTAGGTGCTAGACACTGAGCTATAGGATTTAATATTTGCACTCCTATATTTCAAATATTTTAATCATTTTGGATGTTTTGCTTTGGCCCCATTGCTTTCTTTTCCCCATTCCTCTCTTTTACAATGGAAATGTTTACCTCCTGCCGTTGTATCTTGAAAGTGTTTAATGGTTTTTTAAATTTTTGCAGTTAAGATTTGATTTGAGTCTCAGGAAACTGGTGACTCTTAGACATGGACTAAATATATTTTACATAAAGAGATGCACAGGAGACTTGTGAGAGCCAGGGGTAGAAGCTTGTAGTTTATATGTAGATGTTCCTAAGGACTTCTTGCACTTTTACTTGAAAAGTGATTTGATTATGAAGTGTTATAGGTGACTTACTGTTAGGCACTGGGCTCTAGTGGAACGATGAAGGGGATCACTAGGGACTTTTCCTGGAGGGATAAATCTCTCTTCTCCACTCCTCCTTTCAGTCATTCTCTGTTTCCTGTTTACCATGTTATGAGCAGCACTTTCCTGCCGTACTGTTCTGCCTTGAAACTGGTTGGTCATATAAGAACTGAAATTTCTAAAACTGTGAGCCAAAATAGATTTCTTTAGTTTTGGGTATTGGGTATTGTGCCCCAACAACAAAGAAAATAGCTAGTACAATGAGTACTCTTTCCCAAAGCTAGTTTTCATATATTACTGCATGAATAATATACAAAAGCTAATAATTTAAAATTGGAATGAGATTAACAGTGAAAGACAGGCTGCCTAAGACATCCAAAATGATTAAAATATTTGAAAAATAATGCTACCAAGATCAAATGGGTCTCTGGTGGCACTTCATTTCAGAAAACATGGTTAACATTGTTTGCATAGCTTCTTTTTGTCTTTTTGAGACAGGGTCTCACTATGCAGTTCAGGCTGGCTTTGGGTTCACTTTGTAGCCCAGACTGGTGTCAAGCTCATACTAATTCTCCTGCCTCTGCCTCCCGAGTCCTGGGATTATAGGAGTGTACCACCACAACTGGCTCCATAGCTTCTTTTACATATTTTTTTAAGAACCTCCTACTTCAAGTCATGTAGTATGCTTCCCAGGAAATGTAAAAAAAAAAAAAAAAGGTGTCATTTGTTCCATTTTCTGTATAGTGCATCTGCTCTGATTCCTTTCTCTGTCCACTGAAAACTAATATTTACTTTGCTGATTCTACTAAGCCATACTCTCTAAAAATGCTAGCAACCTACAGGTCTTCAAATGTAGCAAAATCTTTTTCACCTATCTTGTTTGACATTAGCAGCTTTTTACTTGGTTAACAACCTCCTTCCTCAAAGTTTTCCTGCCTTGTTCCCTGCAACACTGTTCTCCAAATTCTTTTAATTCCCTGTGGTTGCTTTTCTAACACTTGCTCCTAAATAGTATTGGTGTAACCATGTTCTATCCTGATCTCTTCTTCTCCTTCTCCCTCTCCCTCTCCTTCTCCTTCTCCTCCTCCTCCTCCTCCTCCTCCACAGCCGCCTCCTCCTCCTCTCCTCCTCCTCCATAGCCGCCTCTTCCTCCTCCTCCTCCTCCTCCACAGCCGCCTCCTCTTCCTCCTCCTCTCCTCCTCCTCCATAGCCGCCTCTTCCTCTTCCTCCGCCGCCTCCTCCTCCTCCTCTTCCTCCTCCTCTCCTCCTCCTCCATAGCCACCTCTTCCTCCTCCTCCTCCTCCTCCACAGCCGCCTCCTCCTCCTCCTCTTCCTCCTTCTCCTCCTTCTCACTGTCTTTTTGGAGAATATCTAGTACTGCCCATTATTTTCCTGGGCAGTGGCCTCTCAAGTGTTGTCCCTCATGTCTTCATTTCTGTTCCCCCAAAGCACTTCCACTTCTCTGTGATATGGCCACATAATCATGCTATAAGCATTTCAAAATTAACATCTTCTGATCTGTTTATCTCTCTCTCTCTCTCTCTCTCTTTCTCTCTCTCACACACACACACACACACACACACACACACACTGTTCTTTTCATGGTTAACATTAAGTACATAATCACCAGTTTGGAGCCTCAGAATTATCTTTTATTCTTATTTTTCCTTTACTATGCATTAAGTTCTCTCCATGCTACCCCTTTTTTATCTTCTACTCTCTATTCTTCCTATGATTATCTCTTACTTAGTGTATTGCATTTGTCTTCTTTTGGATTTCCCTTCAGTTAGAGTGCCTGTCTGCCTGCAGTGTTGTGTACCTGATAGATGCTTGCTCATTTTTTCAAGATGTCTGTGAAATCTTTCTAACATCTTCTCTATACATACAAAACTTATGCTCGTACCTCTATCTCTATGGCACTGTTTATAGACCTCTACTGCAGTGCTTATACTGCGTTATAATTACTACCTACAGTGCTATGGAGTGTACATTCTTTCAGAGTACGTACTAAATATTACTCTGTCCCTTTTTTGCCTCCCTTAATATTCCCAATCCTTCCTCTCAAAAAATAATTCCCTGTGACATTCCTTTTTCTTCCATTCCTTTATCCACGTGTAATAGATTGTTAGTCTAAGACTCTGCCATCATCTTTACCTTCTTTGTCCACTTCTCAGATGGATGAGACTCTTTTTCTAAGTCATCTGGAATATGTTAGTGAGGGCAGAAAAGTATATCTACCTGATTTATTAATATTTATCCTTGGACTAGAATGTGGATCAGGGTAGAGTGCTTGCCTGGCATACTCAAGGCCTTGGATTCAATCCCCAGAACTGAGGGGAAGGGTTGATACACATGCACACATACATTTATACTTGAGCTTACTAAGCTATCTTGTTATTTTTTTAGATGATGTGATTATTAGTAAACACTAGAATCCAAAAGAAAGTGGCCTATGTTAAGTACCATAAGAGTTGCTGTTTATGCCTTTTAAGAACTGTGTCTTCTGCAATACGGGCAAGACTATCTCTATAACTCCCATTCCTATTCATCTCATCCACTGGGTGTTTCCCCTTCCCACCAGAGAGCCACAAAAGGTAGCATAAAGAAGCCACACTCTTGTATGTTCAGAGCTAAAGCATGAAGTCTAAGTTGAGAGAAAAGTTCAGTTTTTAGAAAAGATAATTATAGTTGTTTGGGTTAGGCAATTTCTTCATGGAACTGACCTGGTTTGATCAAGTATGGAGACCATTTTTAACAGCCCGTACTGCCTATAGAGACACTTACATTTACACAGATTGTTGTGGAGATGTATATATATATATATATATATATATATATATATGTATATATGTATATATACACTTTTGTTGGCAGGAAAATTTGTCTTGAACTTTGCTAAAGAAGAGAAGTTTCTAGTGTCGTTGATAGTGAACTTTTGCACTTCTGGCTCATTACTCAGGTTAACACACTCAGAGGTTCCCTATAGCAGTGGAGTTCCATCGTCCGCTAACAACACTGAGTTTGTGGAGGATCTCTCCCAAGGCCAGCTGCTTCAGAATGAGTCTTCAAATGCTGCAGAAAGCAATGAACAGCGGCATGAAGATGAGGTAAGCTCCACATGTCACTTGCACTCTGCAGCTTGTGTAGAAACTAGTCAACAAAAGAGGTATTGGTCAAGGTGTGTATATCAGCTTTTTTTTTTTTTTTTTTTGTCTTTTTCCTTTTTATTGGTACCAGAGATCGAACTCACAACTGCCTGCTTGCAAGACAGGAAGGTGTGTGTATCAGCTGACCTTCTTATATTATAGGCTGACACCTGAGGTGTTCTGTCTCACATTTCTTGGTTTAAATAGAACCACATTAATGATTTTAATAACAAATCATTTTCACCTTGCCTAAGAAATTTTAGGTACCTCATATGTTCAACTAACGCTTAAATAAATGAATGGCTTAAATAATTAATGAGAAGTCCACATACCGTTGTTCAGGACCACACTGTAATTATCTAGTCCTGCAGCACGGAGCCATCCATGTGTACCCAGAAGATTCACACAACTCACCAACTCCTTCACCTTACTGTAGCAGCCAACTTTCTGTGAATCACACAGAGGTTCCAAGTGGTTTCAGACGATCTGCCCTTGGTCCTGGAAAACAACTGATTATGTTATCTACATTTTACGCATTTTTGTTTTTTGTTTTTTACAAAATAACACCAATGATTGTTCATTAATTGATTTATAGACAGACCCTATTAGGTAGCCAAGCTAGTCTCAAATTAGAGATACTCTTAGCTCAGCATCCCAAGTGTTAAGATTATAGGTATGTGCCTCCATGTCTAAAATATTCTGTTGGCATTCTTAAAGATCATAATGAATGTTTGAAACTATTTGTTTATTTTTTTCATGTACATAGTGCTGGGATTGAACTTAGGTTCTTGGGAATGCCAAGAACACCCTCTACCACTGAACTACAGATATCTCCAGCCCCCGTAGTAGCTTTATTGTCACTAGCTTTACAAAAACATAAAAAGAAAAAAATAGCTAGTACCAAATGCACCATTTGCCAAATGGTGAATTTTCACACCAGTTTATATACTGTATATTTGGAGGATTGCAATGCCACAGTGAACAATGAGATTTTTTTTTTTCTTTTTTGGTTCCTTTTTATTTATCTTTTTCTTCTCTGGAATATGAATTCTTGTGTCTATAAAACATTAGCTGATGAGCTAAGTGTTTTCCTTTGGTCTCATAATGCCAAGCAAAAGACCAGGTAATAGTACTTCTGCCTTTTCTTTCTTTTTTTTTTTTTTTAAGCTTTTAAAGCTGATTTAATCTTTGACTTTTTTATAAAGACTCTGACTTTATGAAATATACTTCTTAGAGAACAAATTAGCAAACCTCATTTTGGATGTATTACTGAAATTTTTCTAAGGCCTAGATATTAATTTAAAAATCTTTGTGCCCGGGGCTGGAGATTTAGCTCAGTGGCATAAGTGCCTGCCTTGCAAGCAGGCGGTCGTGAGTTCGATCCCCGGTACCGATAAAAAAGGAAAAGACAAAAAAAAAAATCTTTGCGCTCTCTGCTATGAAAAACAAACTGGTTTTGAATGATGTCAGTGAGAAACACCTTCATGAATTATTTTTAATCCCTGTGCTACAGCTTGTCTCTTCTTTTGCCCAGTGCATGTGACATCTTATTCTGATCTACTCTGAGGGCGTCTACTTCTGACACAGTGCTGTGTGCACTGCTGCATTTCTCAAAGTATTCCCCTGTCAGGAAACTGGACCTATTAAGTATATGAAAGCCAGAGCTTCCATGATTGATCAGCCCAGAAATAGTCCCTGAGGCAGCAGTTTGTAGTGTGGTATGTAAAAGGGTCTCCGAGCAAACCACCTAGAGTCCTTGGCATTGTGCTTATTTGTACCTGTGACACAATTGGAAAGCTTTGACTAGACAGTCACACGAAAACACACTCTACTCCTATTGTGTTTGTTGATGCAACTTGTGTTATTAAGCAACTGTTGTTGCTTAGTTTTGGTTTTTCTTTTACTTTGTTTTGTAGCAAAGAAGTAAACGAGGAGGTTGGTCCAAGGGAAGAAAGAGGAAGAAACCTCTTCGGGACAGCAATGCGCCCAAATCTCCCCTTACAGGATATGTTCGGTTCATGAATGAGCGTCGAGAACAGCTTCGAGCAAAGAGACCAGAAGTCCCGTTTCCAGAAATCACAAGAATGTTAGGCAATGAGTGGAGTAAACTGCCTCCTGAGGAAAAGCAGGTGATTGTCCTTACTGCAGATTCTCAGCCTGCTTTTGATTTTATCTCAGAAACAATCCTCCCTTGGAAGTTAATTGAATTCAGAGATTTTTCAAAGGGGTCAAATTAAGTTACAACTTGAAGTTCTGTGTTTGTGGTACCAAGCTAATAGGAAGCAATTTGTATCATTCATTGTTTTGGCTTTACAAATCATTGAGATCATAGGCTAATCATACTGTATTCTTTATTTTTTCTTTATCTTAAATTGAATGCTTGCTCATTAGTTAGATTTTTCGAACAGCACAGAAGCAGATAAATATAAAAGCAAAATAATGATAGTTTCTCTGGGGATAATCATTGTTGGTTACATGGGATAAGAGTTTTGTGTTTGGTCTTGTCAACATTTTTATTTGAAAATTTCAGATATACAAAAAGTTGCAGCAGACATCCAGATACAAATACCCACTCTGCAGCTTCACCTGTTGTTAATACATCTTACCCCATTTCTCCATTTGCATATCTGCTCATGCTTACACATACCCATCTCAGCCCCCCACCACCACACAGCTCATGGCTATCATGACCTTAACATATACACACATACAAATTTTTGGTGAACCATTTTAGAGTGAGTTACATACATCATCTCTTTATCCTTAAATAGTTTAATAGTTCTTTCCTAAGAATAGAGATATTCTCTTACATAACTACAGTAATAAAATATTGTAATCTATCATCCGTATATCATTTCTTTCTAACAATGTCCCCTTCAGTGCAGATTCCAGTCACAGGTCTTTTCATCTTTAGTCACATCTCTTTAACTTTTTCTTTTTGTTTGTTTTTGTTTGATTTTGTTTTTTGGTGGGGTTTTTTTGTTTTATTTTGGTAACAGAACAGTCCTCCTTTTGAACTTGAGTGATATTTCCTAAGGCTAAGAGTGGAGTTAGAGTTGTGTATCCTTGGTCAGAGTATTGCATAGGTGGTGATATATCCTTCTGAGCATCACATACACAAGAACAGTTTATTCCTAGTTTAATAACTATAGAAATCGACTTCATAATTTAAATTAACAAAATACTTTATTAACTTGGTGTTTACATTGTCCCAGATTTGACTAGTTGAGTGTCCCTTAATCTGATTCTTGTGTGAGACAAAGTTTTTAATATAATTTCTGACCCTGATTTGTCTTTAAAATATCAGCGGTGTCTTTAATTTGATGAATGAAGGACAAAGTATTGAACAAAATAACCCTAATAAATCAGTTGACTTTTAAAATTAATTAATAGCAGAATACAAAACATATGGATGTAGGCTGTCTTAAGGTTGTCCATTTTCAGGTCCATAGGATAAGGGGGTTTTTGTTTGTTTGTTTGTTTGTTTAATGCTCTTTGTTTCTGTTTGCCTATAGTACTTGGCTCTCTGGCTCTTAAAAAGCCAATTGATGTATGAGGGCATTCTTCAGTATCAACGGGGGTAGAAAAATCAAGTAGTATTCCTTTTGTGGGACTGGAAGAACAATGGTAGTCATCTTCATGGGTTTATTGCAAGAGTGATCTCAGCAGAATTTGTCATGGGTCTAGAAAATACAGTAAATGATCTAAGAAGTAAAAATCACTAATCTGTTTCATAATTGAGATTTTCTTCTGTTTATATGTTTGCTTTTCTGATTCTCCTTTAAAGCATATTCCCTGGATTATTTCCTTCCACATTTCAGTTTTCTAACAGAAAATTAATATTTTAAATAAGTTACCCGCTCTTGAGTATAATTCCAGATTTTTTCCCTTAGCGCTACCTTGATGAAGCAGACAGAGATAAGGAGCGTTACATGAAGGAACTGGAGCAGTACCAGAAGACCGAGGCCTACAAGGTCTTCAGTAGAAAAACCCAGGACCGGCAGAAAGGCAAATCTCATCGGCAAGGTATCAGAACCTAAGCCAAATACATCTGTGTTTGTCTTGACAATGGTGACAGCTATAAAAGATGTGTCTCTCTCATTGCTGTATTATCTTAAATTCACTTGTAAACATAGTGTTGGAATTTTATTAAAATCAAGTTGCCTTCATTTGGAAATTTCAATGAGTTTCTATATCCGAGATGAGCAGTTTGGTTCATGCACTAAATCACTGTTAGTTGCCTACCCCTCTTTTCATAATTCATAGGTATTTTTCTCCCCTAAACATGTCTATTAAACTATGTAACTGGCTTGCTCTAATACTGCTAAGCCTTCCATGTGCCACTTCTCTTGGCCTCCAGTGCTCCTCTTCAGTCATGCGTGCATGCATTCAAAAAGTATTTATTGAACACCTTTTATTAAATACCAGGCCCTCTTTTGGGTATTCAAGACACAACAGTGAACAAAATAGAAAAAGTCCTTGTCTTTAGAGTTTTCTATTCTCTGATAAATTGTTCATCACACCCTTACAAGTTTTGCTTCCAACTCCCCTTCTTCAGGAAACACTGCTAGAGGAGTACAACCACAGCTAGTCTGTCATTCCTTAGCCAATGCATCTTCTCCATTCTTGGGCATCTAGCCTGCCAAACCATAGTGTTGTGCAAACAGCCCTTGGTGTGTGTTTCCTGCCTACCTCCCACCCTGTTCTCCTCAAAGGTGAGAACTGTCTGCTTTTCTCATGTGCCAAATGGTATACTCCATAGGTATGGGTTTCATTTAATTTTTGTCAGCTGACCAATTAATAAAGCCATGGGAGAAAAATGCTACAGTTTGTGAGAGCCTGCATGTACCAACAGGATTTGTAGTTTGCCACAGTCATATACTTGGGTTTTGCTATTGTTTTCTCCTTCAACTTAATATTTTCTTGGTCTTTCCTGTTTTTAGATGCAGCCCGACAGGCAACCCATGATCATGAGGTAATTAGCCTTCTGTCTACCTGTCACATATATTGCTGTTTGAAATGCTGCAAATTTTGTTTGGATTGCTGCTGATGTTGTTGTTGTTTGTGGCAGATTGTTTCCAGTCCCATAATACAGACTAAAAGAGTTGCTTCAGCTCAGGGGTAGACATTTAGATCCAAGTCTCTTAGAACTACAGCTTCTAACCCCAGTCTGTTCATGTGATCTAAGAATGTTATTGGTTTTCAGTGGTGATAGTGGCTGGAATTTAGAGTGAAGTATAGAAGTTAAAGCCAGCTAAAAACTGCAACTTGACCATAGCTTATCATCATCACATAGCATAGTCTTACTCTACAGAGATATTACTTTGGAAGTTCTCCATTTGGTTAAAATGAACCACTTGACTGCAGAACATAACTGAGTAGTTCCTATCCCTCACTTTCGGTTCAACTCCCTTGACAGGATTTAGACCTGTGATCCTGTGTGTATGGGAGATTTGGGCCTGTGTGTGTTGTCTATGCAATTTGTGTTGCTGTGCCATGTGTATAGATGGGTGTAAGAAAATAAAATCTGGGCTGGGGATTAAGCACCTTCCTGGCAAACGCAAGATCCTGAGTTCACTCCCTAGAACCAAAAAAAAAAGAAAGAAAATCTTCAGTAATTCCATGCTTTAAAATGCTCAGTAATTCCTCATTGCTTTCCAAATCACATTCAAACTCAGCTGTCAAATCTTTTGTAAATAAGTCTCAGCTTCTTATTCCGAATACCTTAGCTCGAAATACTTACAAACCTTTGCTACAGTATCTCTCTCCTCAGGGATACCATCCTGCTCTGCCTCAGGCCTGTGCTCTTAGGCCTTGTGTGAGACTCTTTTCCCTCTCTCACAGAATTCTTCATGCTGCTCCTCCCCCATCCTCACAGTTCAGGCTCTCAAAATCCTAGTCATCTTTCTTTTTTTATTGGTACCGGGGATTGAACTCATGACCACATTCTTGCAAGGCAGGTGCTTATGCTGCTGATCTACATCCCCAATCATGATCTTCAGTCATCTTTCAAACCCTATTTCAGTTGTTTTTTCTCCTTTAAAATTTTCTTGTTTCCTCCAGCTTTCTTTAACCTTCAGGGCTGTTTTAATCTTATCCACTTAGCTGAGCTGATTTTGCAGTTATCTAAGAACCTCTGTTATTCACACTCTTGGAATATGAGCTCTTTGAGGACAAACTAATTCTAATTTCTTTGTTTATCCAACCCATCACCTAACATGGCAGTCTTGCATGGAGGAGATACAAAAACCCACAGTTAACTTGAAATAATAGTGAGAATTTGAAAAAAGAATTTCTCAGGTGCACCCTTACAAGTAAGTTTTTTTACTAAATCACAGAAATCTGTTTTTCAAATTAACAATTTATTTATTTTGAGAGTATAGTCCTCATACATAATTTGGTGGTGGTAACTTCCAAAATATAAAAATAAGATTCAGATTCACAAGTTACAAAGTGAGAAGCATAGTAAACATTAGCATTTTGTTCATATAAATCCTGGTTAAATATAGTATAGTTATATATAACATATATATGTGCTTTAATTAGAATGAAGTGTTATGAATATTTTGCTTGAAAACTTTGTATGTATACTTTGTATTTAAATGACAGTAGAATAATGTTGTAAGCTTTGCATTTTACCAGAGGCTTGTACAGTTCATTCTTATTTTCCTCTTTGTCTATGTACCTAACCACCAATATCATGAGATTTCTGTATTAGTTTTGTCCTCTCCATTTTTATATCTTTGTCCTTAATAGTTACAGAAGAAAATTTAGAAAATAGGCTAAGACATTAGAGCTCACATTTTCTAATCAATTTCTGACTCATTTCATCAGTATGAATTTTCTTGGTCAGGCTATGTATAGCATTTTTGTGTTCAGTGATGTTGATAATTACAGTCAGAAAAAATGACATTAATAAATTTAATCAATTATAGATGCTCTTACTTGAAAAGTAAACCTTTTCATCAAAGATACTAGTTTCTGTGATTTTTTTTTCATTTCAAGACTAAAAACTAGGTGACCAAAGAGAAGACAGTGGGGGAAATTGTGGGTAGGTGGAAGAGTAAGCGGTAGTTTCCCAAATGTGTTCATGGTGGCTCTGTGTATCTGTCCGCCAGTATGCCCGTATCACGATAAGGGTCTCTTAGGTTGGTAACTAATTAATGTCTCTTACTTTTTTAGTTTTTATTTTTCATTAGTATTCCTGAACTAGATAATTTCAGAACAATTGTAGTATTAAACAACTGGTTTGAAAGTTTTTAATTGTTGTTTTAAACACTGTTTAAAACTATCTTTAGCCTGGTGTAGTGGCATGTGTATAATCTGAGTACTCTGGGAGGCTGAGACAGAAGGGCAGCTTAGCAAGATTCAGTCTCAAACAGTTTATGTACTGTTTTTTATAACTATAACTTTTTAGTATAATAGTTTAGAAAACCAGAAAAGCATTATAACTGAAAAACAACCACAGAAGGTTCCATGAAGGAATGAGGAAAAGGATTAACTTAAAGATGACCCACCATTTTGTTCTTTGTTGTTGGGCTATGGGGGCCTGTAGAGGCAGGTGTTGGACATTTATGAATAAGTTAACAAAAGAGCAGGTATCTTGCAAAATTCCTAAAATGTAGATTCTACATACGCATGCTTCCCTTATCTTATGAAGAGTAAAATGAGAATGTAATAGAATGATCTGTGCTCCTCTTAAAATCCTAAGATCTCAGAGATCCTCTCTGCCAGCCAGTTTATTTTGGCTGTGAGGGAAGTAACTTGCCTAAGACAGGAAAGAGTATACCCAGAATCACTTATGGAACCAAGTTAGAGGCAGAAGTGTGGCAGAAACCCAGGCCTCTGTACCACAGTCTACCACTCTTGGCAGCACAATGCAGCGCTATATGGGATAAACTATACAGTGTTGAAAAGTGAAAGTGGGCCTCGTTGCCTGAGATGTCAGCAAAATGTGTTGTTAGTTAAGAAATTACTTGGTTTGCGGTTTGGGGGTGTAGCTCAGTGGTAGGGCACTTGCCTAGCATGTGCAAGGCCCTGGATTCTATTCCTAGCACCATGGCAAGAGAGAGACAAGGAGAGAGACAGAGATTGCTTTGTGAATAGTAAGGAAATATAGTGTATTTCTAATGGAACTTGGCTCCCTGAGACATTATTATCTAGGTAGGTACTGGAGAGAGCATCTAAGAGCTTAAGAAATGGTGACCTGAAAGCCGTTCTGCACGGCAGTGAGCACTTCAGCATGGTACACAATATTAAGAGCATTCCCCAGAGTAAAGGACACTTGAAAAAAGTATATCACACACTCTGAAATTCTGGCCCTAAGCCTAGATCACAGCAAATAGATTCAGTTCAAAAAGACCTCTGTTCCTTTACCCTTCTCTCAGTATATAGAATGAAAACCCAGGGAAGAGTGTTCTTGTCGCTCTCAATTCAAAAGCCAGGCCAGCTTGTGTGTTACTCTCAACAAAGTGTCTACACCTCAGTGTGAGGAAAAGGATAGAAACAATAATTTTGTTTCTCCTTTAATTTATGAGAAATGACAAAATGACACTCAGCCTGAACAAATTAGACCCTTTCAGTGAGGAGGTAATCAAGTCCTTATGATTTTAATCCCTTGAGCAATCCTTGGAGCAGCTTAAGTGTATCTGCGCCCCCAGGAGGATCCTCTCCATGCCGAGTAATGTGCTCAGTAATGGAAGAGTACTGATGGTTTTTATTACCACTCTTCCGTTAAGTAGAATTTCTCTGTTGCTTTCAGAGGCCAAACAGTTTCATCTAATTGTTTTAATGTTTCTTATTTTGCACTCTTAAGAATCTGCACCAAAAGGCAGTGTGTTAGTGTGCCTGTGTGGGGCTATCCTCTGCCCTTAACAAAATGGGCAGCTCAGGCAAAGAGGAAAACAGAATTACCAGACTGAATCAAGACGTTGGAGCAGGCTCATTTGTACCATGGTAATAGAAGGCAAACACCACCATCGCTACAATCCCAGCGTGCACGCTTATGCACACATACACACACACTTATCCCTCAGATACAAAAATGGATAGCATATATGGATCTCATATATGCCTGTGTGATGGAGAAGGAGATTAGACAAGGTAAGATGATTAAAATCCTAAGACTTGGTTGTAATGTGTACTTATTCTTGAATCTAGCGTGCATTGTACGTGTTGTGGTTGAGTATCATGAGTTTCCTGTTTTCCTACAAAAACCCAATAACAGAATTAAAGCATATGGTGAACTAGCAGAGTTGAAATGTGTTTAACATCCCTTCTGGAACCAGTCTTTCTTGCCCACATTAGTTCTCATTGAAATCCGCTAGGAACTGGCACAAAGTAGAGCTCTGCATGTTGAAACTTAGGGCTTTCAATGATAATTTGGTTGTTTATTTTTAAGTTTTTCTGGGAAATTTTGTTTTCTTTCAGTAGGAAAGAAAAAAAGAGCAAAAGCTAAGTGCTCTGAAATGGTCCCTTGAGTGTTTCAGATTTCCATCTTCAGGGTCTGTCTTGCCTGCTGCTGCTGGCAGTCCATTGCCGCACCTCATCACCCTTGGTAGGCAGAACAGGTCTGACACAAGAGCATGGCCATGCCAGTGCTTTCCTAGGCTGCAGACTGCTGGGCTCTGCTGAGCACCAGGGCATTCTTGCTTTCAAAAGCAGAGTAGTGGTAACAAATAGAAAAGGTAACAGCCCATCTCTAATTTAAGCATGTTTTTATAAGAAGGAATTCTAGGTATTTTGTGTACTGTTTTCACGTTATAAAGGTTTCAGAATTTTCAGAGTTCACTAGCAATTTCTTCCATACTCATTTCCTACTGTTCTCTTTACCATCTCACATTATGCAAGATTTTGAACACCACACCAAGACACTTATATTCATTATATTTTCAACTTAAATTTCATTGTAGAAGTGGCAGCCAAAGCATCTTGAAATACTGATTTTATTCTTAAGGATCATTGTTGAATCTATTTTGCAGTGGTTTTGTGAGTGATTTTATTTTATTTTATTTTATTGCTTATGAGTGAGTTAATTTCAGGCTTTATTATTCCTTTCCTAGCTCACATAATTCTTAGAGCCTGTTATTTCTTAGAGCCTGGTTATTTCTGACATACTGGTTTTGTTTGTTCTTCCTAAGGAAAGTCTACAAAAGCCCCAAAGATAGACTGTTTCTTCTATATAGACTATTCTATTCTGATAAATAGAAGTGGCGGTAGAATACCAATATTATTGCTCATGGCTGGCAGAGCTCTGCTTACAATTCTTACTGTCCCCTCTGCAAATTATCTCAGAGAGTATTTTACCTCTATGACCAAGTTTTTGATTCTTGCCCCAGCCCCTTTTACAAATGTATACTGTTGAGTATTTAAAGCATAGAACTAATAAATGGTGTCCAGATTCTCTACTAGAGGAATGCAGTTTTTTTTTTAACGTTGCTCATTGTACAGCAATTGTACCTCTGAGAAAACTGACTACTTAACTGCTTGAACTCTGTGAAGCTCTAATTCCAGTGAAAACGGGAGGACAGTCCCCTCACAAATTCACACTGACTCCTGCTCACCCTATTTCTTTTCTTCTTCTTCTTCTTCGTCGTCGTCGTCGTCGTCTTCTTCTTCTTCCTCTTCTTCTTCTTCTTCTTCTTCTTCTTCTTCTTCTTCTTCTTCTTCTTCTTTTTTTAGACAGAATCTTGTTGTCTAGTTTTAGGCTTGCCTCAAACTCACGGCAGTCCTCCTGCCTCAGCCTCACAAGTGCTGCTCACCCTATTGCTTTAAAGAAGATATGATCATTGTGCTTCAGACATTACTATTTAATTCAGCTTTTAAGAATTAACTTCCATTCTTGATTGACAGAAAGAAACAGAAGTCAAGGAGCGATCTGTGTTTGACATTCCTATATTTACAGAGGAGTTCCTGAACCACAGCAAAGGTAACTTCTGCACTACAGTATTTTTGTGTCTTTGGGCCTCTGACAGGGGATTTAGTTCTCCAGAGGAGTTCAGTGCTCAAAAGCAGTGTAGTGATAGCCCTTCTGCTTCCATTTCACTAGCTACTCAAAGACCAGTGAAGGAAAGACAGGCCAGTGTTGTAAGGCTCCTTGGTCTCTAGATCAAGAAAAACAAATGTAAATCACAAGTGTAGTTGCTTCCAAACTGGTAGCTGGAGCTCTGTGTACCAGTAAAAGCTTACATGGGAGCCCAACACAATGTGTGGTGGCAGAACTGCTCCCCTTGCAGTGCAGATGAGTACCATGTAGCTGGGCCTGGCCAGCCTCTTAGGGTCCACCCTGCTATCTCCTTGGGCTTCAAACTGCACAACTTTAAAAAGCAAAATCTAACAAACTTCAGGAATTGCCACTGTTTGCTACAGTCTTATGTGCAGCACATACAGCTTTAAGAATTAAAATCACTCCGGGGGGCTGGCATTTCATTGCTAAAATTGTGATCTAGAGTGCAGTAATGAGAGTTAGGAGATGAGGCAGGGTAGCTAATGAGAGCCACTAAGTTGAACTTCTTGTGAGAGGCATGGAACCCCTCCAGGACTCTTCATGATCCCTGTGTTCTGGACGGGTTCCCAGCACGCGAGGCTGAGCTGCGCCAGCTCCGGAAGTCCAACATGGAGTTCGAGGAAAGGAATGCAGCACTGCAGAAACATGTGGAGAGCATGCGCACAGCTGTGGAGAAACTGGAGGTGGACGTGATCCAGGAGCGCAGCCGCAACACAGTCCTGCAGCAGCACCTGGAGACCCTGCGGCAGGTGCTGACCAGCAGTTTTGCCAGCATGCCCCTGCCTGGTAACGTCATCCCTCCCTAGGACTTACAGTGGCAGGGTGGGCTGTGGCTGTTTTTGTGGGTGATGGTATGTGGAGCCTAAAATATCCCTAAAAAGAAAAGCAGTAAGATAAAATGTTTCCTCAAGATTTTCTGTAGTATTGTATATCACAAACATATACTAATCTGAAAAAAAAAAAAAGATTTTCTATGGATCATGTATTAGACTGTGAGTACTAGCTGGGCGTGATGGCACATACCTATAATCCTAGCACTGAAGCAGAAAGATTGTTAGGAGCCAGCCTTGGCTACATAGTGAAACTATCTCAAGAAAAGAGGAAGGGAAAAATAAATAAAAGGAGGGGTGTGACTGGAGATGTAGCTCAGTAGAAGAATATTTGCCCAATTCATGCAAGGCCCTGCTTTCAATCTGTACCACACAACAAAAAAAAGTCAGTGTTGGCTAAAATAATCCAAAATTTCAGGCCTTCTGGTCATATAAATTTTTGTCTACCTCTTATTTTAATATAATCTGTTTAGCTTTCTGTTAAGCTTTATTTGATTTTTAGAACAATAGAAATAAATCCTGAGAAGAGAGTTATCTTTTAATGTATTTCATCTCCTTTTATCTGTGTTGCTTTCATGAGAAGGAAGTAAAAATAAACACTGGTGTTCCTTATATACTCCCATTTGAGGACAGCAGGAGGCTGGCAGTCTGTAACCTTTTGTTACATACAGCTACTCATATGCTGCATTATGTAGCCCATTTGTTTATTTAGAATATGTAGATTAGCTTCCTCACTTTGAGGTCTAGAAGTCTTATAAATTTAAAATCTGCTTGTGGATCAGACCACATTAGAATCACAATTTCTTTTGCTGTAAATTCTCTTAAATGTTTTACAGTTGAGTTGAATGGAAGGAGTTGCCTAATTTGTTGTTCTTTCACTTCAGGAAGTGGTGAGACACCAACAGTGGATACCATTGATTCGTATATGAACAGATTGCACAGTATTATTTTAGCGAACCCCCAAGACAATGAAAACATCATAGCTACAGTGCGGGAAGTTGTGAGCAGGCTTGATCGCTAGGGAATGGTAAGTACTCATTGCTGGAATGCTTCTGTGGCAGCGTACTGTCAGTACGCTGAAACCCTGACAGTCCTGCTGAAACCCTGAAATTGCATTGAAGGAATGAGCTGGAGGTTCGATTTAGAGTCCTATTACCTGGTTGCTAAAAGTCTAAATACTATTAGAAACAGAATCAAGTCAGTTTTTTCTCATATGTACTTTAGAATGATTTGATGGAAAGAGTATGGTTTCAGTAGGTATTAGTTTCCCAAAGAATTTTGAAGACTGGCTAAAGAATTAAAAGGAAATCTCTCCCAAAACAGCTCTCAGAACAAAATACCACTTAATAGTTAATCTTCCTTTTCTCTGGAAAATATTAATGATTTATAAGTGGTAACTGAGACATTTTATATGTATACATATATATATACACACATATGTATATATGCATGCCTACATAAGCATTCACATTCATCACTTGATAGAAGAGTGACTATAACATGTTAAATGTTGTGGACTACTATATAGTGAAATAGTTCATACCTTTAATAAAAAATAAATGAAATAAGAAAAAGAAAATAAGCTATCACAAATTACTTTTTAAATGAGTCAGGAAGCACATTTCCAGAAAGGATCTGCCTGTGTACACTATTTGGTACTAATGGTCAATGATCAGTTAACATTGCTTAAGTATTAGTACACTCAGATTCCTAGAGATAGGGTGGAATTTTAGTAAATCATTCCCCAAACTGGTGGCCCTGTGGTCTCTGAATTAAATTGTCCCATACCACAAACCTGTAAATAGTGTGGAATTCTGAGTTGGACCAAACAGTCATCTGCCATACATTTAAATGAGAATCAACAGCCAGAAACTCCTTCAAAGCCTCATAGATTTGAATCTTTGCACTGCAGATCTAGGAGTACCCTCATACAGTTAATTTTTGTTATAGATTGGCTTGGACTGTGAGCAACATGTATAAAAATAAATAAAACTCATAATTCTTTATCTAAATGAGGCAACATCTGCTAGCAGAGACAAAGGCAGAAGTCTTTATCTTTCTTGGTCATGCCCTTGGATGGTCACTGTACAACACAATTCATTACTCTGAAGCTTGGTCCTTGCTCGAACAGGGAAAGGATTACTGTCCTTCTAGTGCTTACCAGATGGAGCAGACTCTACTACTAGGAGTTGGCTGGACTCCCTGTAGAATAAGAAGTGGCTTTACTGCTGCTGCTTAGGAATGGAACAGCTTGTAAATCTAGGCCTGGGATTTTCAGGAGCTCATCATCCTCATTTTCATGGGATGTTTCCAATTAGCACTCTCTTAGGCTTGAAAAGAGAGAGCCAGGAGAAGCAGCAAGATGATGGTGAAGGAAAACAGTAATTGATAATGTAGTGTCTCCTGCCTAGGTGTAAGGTAGTGAGTGCAACAAGAAAGCTAGAAGTAGTTTCCACTTTAAGCATGATGCCAGTACGCCCTCCTGAAGCTCTGTTCACCTTAATGTAAGTTGCAGTGTCTGCTCTTGGAGGGCTCTTTGAAGAACCTTGTATGTTGCCATTCTCCTTGCTTTTAACCTACAAATATTTTGTCCTTGAAAAAATACCTGCAAGTAAACTGTTATATCACTACAGCTTTTTACAATCTAGCCATGCAAACATAACTATGAATAGTTGGTTCCCCACGTCACCTCCCAGACTGTCAAATGGAACAATTATGAAGCCTGTGATTAATACAAGCTTGGCCTCATTATACAAATATGTACAGACAGCTAGGCCCGATGTCCCCAGCACTCACATTGCAATTAATTACTCTGACATGAGCTTGGCAAAGGGTTCATTCCACTGTCAGGAGCCAGTGAGTAAAGGGAAGCTAATGGTCTACAAGTTTTAGGGGTGCATAATAAAGCAGGAAGGGGCCTTTAGAAATCCAGTGTTTTATACATGAAGAAATTGAATTCCAAAGAGATGAGATGCCCTGCCTGAAAATACCTGAGAGGATGAGTACAGATGCCTAACCCTCCATTCAGTGGGTTTCCAAGACATGGCTGTAAGGAGGCACAGCTGGCAGAGGTCAAAAGCAATGAAAAAATCTTGCACCAGACCATTAAGATAAATGGGGAAAAGTCCAATCTAGTAATTATAATATTACAAAATTTTAGTCAGTCCATTTAAGCATTATTTTTATAGATAAATAATGGAAAAATTACCCCATCTGTCATCATCTTGTGGCACAAGTGAAACTGGGAGGAGACCAGGGGGTTAATTTAAAGTTAAGGGGTGACCACATAACATAACCATTAAAATGCATGTGCTTCCCAGTTTCACTTGAACCAATTGATAAATACTTTACTGTTTCAAAACTGAAAAAAAGTCTTGTGTGGTTGCCTTTTTATCACTATGAGAAAACACATTGGTCATATGTGTACAACATGTTCCGACATGTGCAGGTACTCTGGAGTTTATGCTTAAAGAGAACTAGTGTTGATCGGGACACTACTTCCCCCTTCAGATTTGTCCCTGATGTTTACTCCTATATGCTCATAGCCCTAACACCTTCCCATTAGCACCTACATTTGTGGTGTCTCCCTCCCAAATATACAGGTCTCACAGCTCCCACATGTCCCGTGTTTTTACTTGTGCGGAAAGAGAAGCCATCCGTGGAAATTGGAACTGTGTGGGGATCCAGAAGAACCACAGACCCTTGTGCTTGTGAAGAATTCTCAGTGAGTGCAGCGCTTCACCCCAGAAAGCCAGATCAGGTAGCTCAGGGGGCACGTGTGTGAGACCTCCCTACAGATCATCCTCGGCAAGCTTTGAAAGTGTACAGCCACTCTTCCTAGTGTTCGAGTCTTCTGTCATCCCCATCTCTGTTAAAGCAGATCTGTATATATTCTGCTGACTGGGTGACTGAAACCACCACAGCAGAGACTTCCTAGTTGTCACAGTTCCAATTGGACCTTTTTATCACTGGAGCTCATTTTCTCACCTAGCTGTCACTTTTTTTTAAATGCCTTTGGGTGATTTTTGCTTCCCTTTTTCCCCACCAAGTTGTACATCTCTATCTTCTGACCCCTGGGCTCAGTTGCTCAGCAGGGCTCTGAAGGAGCATTTCTTTCATTGGATGGCCCCAGTCTTCTCCCATCATTGCCCGCAGTGACTGCAAAGAGAGGAGCTTCTTGTTGACAGTGCCCTGTGGAGGAAGCCCTGTGTTCCCCACCACACACAGTGCTCAGTGGGTGCCAGCCCTCACAGGCAGCTTTGTGATTGCTGCCCTGAAGGGGAAGGTGCCTTTATCCTCCCCGAGCTGCCTGCTGTTTTCTGGGCAGTGCTCCTGCACAGACATGGTGTCCCCACCCCAGTAAGGCTATTCTGTCCTCATCTTTGGCCGTATCTTGTGGAGCATTTTGCTGAGGAAAAGGTCATTGGTAAACAGAGAGCAGGGGAAAAAGTAGTTTTTATTTGGTATTTATTATTTTAAGCCCAGAGTTTATCGTAAGCGAAACCCAAGGTAATCCCTATCTCGATGAGGTGTGAGAGTCATGGACTTAGGTGTAAGCAGTGTTGGAAATAGTCTCTTGAGCTGGCAGAAAGGGCACAGAAGAATTTGATGTCCTTTGTCTTCCTTCTATATCCATTAACTGCTGAATATGTACAAAAGGAGGCGTCTTTCCTTCCCTCTCCCTAGTAAGGAATTTTTTCTTTTTAACAGCAAAAGTGAAGAGGGTTCAGATTATCTCCTCAGGGTCTTTTTTTTCTTTTCTCTTTACGCTCTAGAGCACAAGGCTGAAGGTGGCAGCTGAGATCTTTGGAACCAAAGCAGAGCATGCTGGGCCTGTGGGCTTGGCACCTCACCATTGAAGGCAGGTGATGGCAGTGTGGCCCTTTATAGTGTACCCCAAAGCCTAGATGCAAGCTAGAAATCCCATTCTATAGCTGCACCATTTCCTCTTAACACTGTGATCTTCTTGCCTGTGTTTGTCAGCCCCAAGGAAATTAAGAGCAACAACAAGAAGTCTTGCTTTGTGATGTCTTGTGTGAATACACATACAGTTTCTGTGTACTGAAGCCCACCTGCCACCACTTGACAGCTTATAGAATAAGACCCCTTCCTTCATTCTCTGTTGCTGTAAAGCCAGCAGTTCTCCTGCCTCTCTCTATTTTCCCATGTCCTTTCTCTCATCTTACTGTTTTTGCCCCTTAGATTCCTTGTCTATTGAGTCCAAGTTAGAGCTCATTGTCTGTGGCAGAAGGACGTCAAAGCTGGCTCTGGAAGTTGGTCTGCCTTCTGCTAGATGCTATCTGCCCTGTCTTCTTTCCTCTCTATATTTCTGTTTCTGCTTTGTGTTCAGTTTCTTGCAACGTCAGCAGCACTGATTTTGTAGCCAGGAAGGCTACTCTAGCTGGACACCTCACAGTGACTGGACGCATGCATGTGCAGGGGGACACAGCGCTCGGGAGCACCCTACAACATGGAACCGCATGCACTGAAGCAGCTGCATACCTGCTTCATGGTGTTGTGGGATTGTGAGGTCGTGGGGAGAGACCTGTGCTACCTCCTCTTTGTGCTGTAATGGGCTGACACAACATCCCGTTGCTGTGTCCCAGGAGACTGGTAGACACTCCGCACTGACGTGTTCTCTTAAGAAATAAGCTGTTGCCTATTCAGTGTTAAAGGCTCCCTTCTTTCTTTTTATTAAAACACGAGCAGCTGAGGAAAGGGAGACGAGGTGTTCTGTTTCTGACAGATTATAGAAAAAATACTGTGTACATGTGTTTGGAACTGTTGAAATGCCAAGTTTTCTGTACAAGTGTTTTTGTAATTAAACTTTTAGATTTTCTTTGTTTTTAAGGAAGTTGATATGCTTGCTTGACATTTGTCTCATTAAAACTTTTTTATGTTGAATCCACCTGATCCAGTTTTACTTGCATTGTAGTAAAAATATCCTACTGCTGCTTTTTCTTCATAAAGGCTGTGTCAACTCCACATTAATCACCAAGTTGTTAGGCTTTCAAAACAGTAGCACATTCCTTTACTAATTGCTTATTCAAAATGTGTCTTCACCTGTTTGAAAATTCAGCTCTTCAATGTATGTTACAATAATACAGTGAGTCCTAATTTATTTTAATGTGGCAGTAGTATTCTGAGGCAGCTTGGAGGATGTATTTAAAGTCAGTGACTCTGAAGTCCCCTTGATAGATCTTTTGACAGAAATAAGTTGTGCTTAAATGCTTGCTTTTAAAAAATAACTGCTACTTATTCAGTCAAAATATGTTTAAAGGAAATGCTTTTAAGATCCTTAGGGTAAGGTGGCCTGGCTTCCAGTGCCTGCTGCTCTCCAGGTAGCCAGTTTTGTGACATTGCTTTGTTTCAACTCTAGCTTCCTGGATAGAAGATAGAAGGACAGAATTAGGGGACAGAAACCATCGTGAGATACCAGTGTATCAGTTAGGATGGAGTCTGACTACATCTAACAGAAATCCAGATCAGCAACAGCTTCAGTAAGAAGCAGATTGGCCTCCTAGAAACGCATGCCAGCCTGAGACCAGCATGGAGACTGTGGTCTGCACCACAGCAGTTTCTTTATCAAGGTCACTTCATGATCCGATATAGCCACTTGGCCAACAGCCATCCCTTTGAAGTTCTTGGCAATGTGAAGGAAAGAAGGCAAGGACAAATCAGGCAAGCAAACCTGGATTTCCAAGTCTTCCTGGAAATCATGCTCAACATTTTCACTTAATTTGGCCAGAATCCAGTCACATCCAAGAAATGTCATATCCTTGTGTCCGGCCCCAATAATGTACAAGCTTTAGTAGAGAAAAAGAAATGAACATAGAGTAGGCACTGAAGTTAATGTCACAATTCATGTATGACTGTGCCAAGCCCGGTCCAGCTGTAGTAGTGAATGTAGTGTCTTATCTTTCCTTTGTCACTTGGCATTTTTCCATTCCCCAAACTAGAAAACAAACTAGTTTCAGTCTGAATTGGCATTTCCTGATCTCACTTTACTGCCTTCCCTATCCTTCAACAGCTGGCGGCCAGGTTTGTGTAGCAAAAGTCAACATAAACAGGTGGTAATACTTCCCCTATTTGTTTGTGCCCTTTCTCTTAACTGCTTAGCATCTGCTGGATTAAAACAACATCAGGATAATCTCCCCCTGATGGTGGGGATATTGAAGTACTTTTTGACAGAAAAACTCATAGGTACTTCCTGCCTTCTGAAAGAATTTCCTGTCTTGCAACTGAGAACTCCAAATCAAGGGGGTTTTTTTTATTATTATTTACCTTTGACACAGCCTGTACTCAGATACTATATCCTTTACAGATCCGTAAACATAAACTAGTTACTGTACCAAGTCAAAGAAAGATAAGGATTAGAAGGAAGGTCAGGTGCACACTCACAAAAGGTAAAATAGAGAAGGAATCTGCAAAGCATAAGACTGGCACTGGGAAATTAAGACAGATAATGCAGATTTTCCAGGTAAAAGGGATTTTGTAAATCACCCACAGTGCTGGGTCAATTGGGGAAAAAAAGAACTAGGCACAGTGTATTTCCAACACTTCACCCAACACCTAAGAGCCAGTGTGCTTTATAAACATTGGCTCATCTTCATTTCAGCTCTCCGTTAAGAGACTGTAAGGGTGTTTATAAAATGTGATTTCAGATAATTCCAATAGGAAAGATAAGCTAATAGGGATACATAAAAAGTTCTAACATAACACATGTAGTACAAATAGATAGCTTGCATGACAAAATTTAATAAAGGTAACTTTTTTAAAAAAACAAGGTCTTGTTAAGTCCTTAAATTGCTTAAATTTGAAATACTCCTGCCTCACTTCCCAGAGGCTGGGATTACAAATGTGCCCCACTAGGCCTGACTAGAGGTCAAAGTACAAAAGGAAGTAAATTTGAGTCTTGAGAGATTAATAACTAATAAGGACTTTAACTGGAAGGTAAATGAAATTTATTTTATTTATTTATTTTGCAGTACTGGGAATTGAACCCAGGCTGCATCATTGGGCTATATCCCCTCCCAGTGCTTTGTAGTTCATTTTGCTTTTTTTGTTTTCACAGTACTGAGCGTTAAACTTGGACCCTTCACACTGAGTTCCATTACTTTTTTATTTTGAGACAGGGTCTGGCTAAATTGCCCACCCTGTGCTTGAACTTGAAATCCTCCTGCCTCAGCCTTCCAGAGGGCTAGGATTACAGGCATGTGCCACCATCATGCCTGTCTTCCCTATAGAGTTTTTATGTGGGGTAATTCATGTAAAACAAAGTAGTGCCTGTCGCAAAGTAAAAGATAAATATATAGACATAATTTATGGAAGACTCAGGAGATAAAAGCAAGTAAACCGGGGCTGGGGATTTAGCTCAGCGGCATAAGCGCCTGCCTTGCAAGCAGGCAGTCGTGAGTTCGATCCCTGGTACCGATAAAAACGAAAAAGACAAAAAAAAAAAAAAGCAAGTAAACCATTCTGTTCTGCTTTTTATATAAACTATGTCATTTAATTCCTGTCCCAACTTTATAGAGGAGGACTGCTATACTTTTACAAGCGGACAAAGAAGGATGAGATGTGGTTACACACTGAACAGGTAAAGAAAGAACTGATACCCAGAGGATCCTGGCTCAGTGTCTCACTGTACCCACAGTTTCAATGCTTAACAGGATACCACCACCCCCAGAGCCCAAACCAGCAGCACACAGTTCCATAGTGTTTTTGGATGTGTTTTCTGGGCCCAGGTCCTTGTGAAGTTTATGTCTTACTGAGGAAAGTGAAACTGTGAACTAAGGTAAAGGAAAAGCCTTTCTGAAAATGTCTCTCTGGGCCTTTGAACTGAGCTACATCCTCATCCCTTTTTATTTTTCTGCATTGAAACAAGATCTCACCAAGTTGCTGAGTTCCTCAGACTGGGCTCACATTTGCCATCCTGCTGCCTCAGCATCCCAGAGTGCTGGGATTACCATGAAAAGTATCTTTTGAAGAAAGATAAGATTGACTTTACACAGCCTGTCATAGGACAGGCTGAGGGAATGAATAGCAGGAAAGGGCTCTGGAATTCTGAGGAATAGGAGAAAGGCTGGAACACAGAACATAAGATACAGTGGCACTCACGAGAGTGATAAAGAGCTGAAATTGTTTTGCAAGTGGATGTGGAGAGAGTTCCACACAGTGAATCACAAGGTCAGATTTGGATTTTTAAGGACCTCACCATTGTATAGAGAATCATGGAAGGCAAGAGAAGAACTGGGAGGCCACATAGCACATTGGCATGGGACCCAGTGAGCAGTGACAGCACCTTGGCCTGGAGGTGGCAAGGAGCAGGTAGGCTTAGGGTAGATCTTGGAAGTGTGATGAAGAAAAGCTGTACAAGATTGGTTGAGAATGGAAGAAAAAAATCAAGGATTCCATAGCCATGGAATGATGATGCATACCTGTAATCCCAGCTACTCTAGGGGCTGAAGCAGGAAGATTACAAATTCAAGCCCAGTATGAATCTCACAAGACCCTGCCTCAAAATCCCAAAGAACTGGGCAACATAGCTCAGTGGGAGAGCACTTGCCTAAGCTCTAGCTTCAGTTCCCAGGACAGGAATAGGGGTGAGGAGGAAACACGCAGTGGCTCTAGTATTTTTGGCTTGAGCAGGTGGGTGGCAGAAAGTATGATTATCTGAGGTGGCATAGACTTTGGAATGAAATACATGGAGGAAAAATGAAGAATTCTGTTTCGGACTGGTTGAAGTTAAGATTCCACCAACGTCAAAGCACTGAGCTAAAACCTCTCTGCTATCAGTTTCATAATTCCTTTCAGCTCTTAAAATTCTGTGGTTCCACACACTACCTACTCCAGGTCAGTATTTGCTAGGATTCCTTCCCTTCTCTGCACACGCGTGCACACACACAAACACCCTGCTACTTGGGCTGCTCACTGAACTATGAAATTAAGGAATGGTCTCCATTTTAATTCTTCAAGCTCCTTAGGAAAAGAAATTTTAAAACCACATCTGCATTTGTTTAGGATTGGCAAAAAGCAACTGAGTGCTGTAGAATATAAATATCATACCATAACCTGATGGTTAGAAAATCCTGGGGAGTAATGGAAAGTGTCTGCTTGGAGGAGACAGGCTGAAAATATATTTGGCATCTTCTAAAGAAGGGAAATATGAGACAACATCATGACACAGCCAGGAGGTTTATCGGCTCAGCAAATGTGTGGTGGTGGGAGCTGCTTTCACCCTCTGTCAGGCAGCCCAATCTGGGCTGGGGAACATCCAGTGATAACCTCTCTCGGGGCTGGTGAATTTTTTAAGTGAATTTATGTTACATTTATCAAAAGAAGTTATTTTTAAGGACAGACTAATGTGGTCATCATAGATTTTACTAGATTTTACTTCATAGATTCCTCAAGAGGAGGAATATTTTAGATCCGTTCATTCAAATAACTCTAAGTACTTACTGTGTGTTTGGGATATGGAGTTGAGGAAGGCCCTCTCCTGGGGGAACCTCCTGACATAACAAAATAGACACAAATGCTCACTCTAGTAGGGTCTGATAATTGAGCAAACAGCTATGAGCAAGACACTGCAGAAAATACAAAGAAGGATTCAGGGGAGGTCAAAAGAGCTTTAGCAGGGTGAGATTTTGAACTGGGCCCTAGAAGAAGAGTAGTTCTTTAAGAGAAACTAGAAACAGGTCTGGAGATCTGAGTGCATTTTTGGTGTGCTCTCAGGTAATTCAGTGTGAGTGGAAAACAGATCGTATCCAGGGGAATGGATAAAAAAATGAAGCAAATGAAGTGTTTTGAAAATGGGCCCTAAAGGGGCTTTGAACACCATGCTAAGGGGATTTGGCTTTGATTTTGCAACAGAGGGAAGGCACGAAGGCTGCTTTTGCAAGGCAGTG